ATAGCAAACACAAATAAGAAAAGCAAGTTATACTACAATCCTATATGGTAACTGAGATTCTACGTGAGAGGGGACAAAGGCTTGGTATCAATCTTAGTTTATGCTGTGATTTAGTCCAATACGTAGACACTGATGATTCCTCTCTCACTTTGACCTTAAAAAGAAAGGTAAGGAGGGGTCACAGAGAGTGGTATCTCCTGCTCCCATCAACATCCTGCAGCTTTTCCAGTTGTCTTACTTCATGTATTTAGTGTTACTTAAATGACCTACGATGGCAGTTATCAGCTGACTCTGTCATAACCTCACATACACATAGTCTCATAACACATCTCAGCAACCGTGAAATACACATAAACATCAGCCTGCTCTGATCAAATCATAGTCCCTAGAAGAAGCCGGTAACATCATTTTGCTTCCCTGAATTTACCTGAGACATTAAATTGGCTGAATTTTGTGCTATTCAAGATTTAAGAAGTACACAGATGGGATGTAACAGCTGTCCCTTGATTTCTAAGTTTTCATTCTTTCCCATACTTTGTGGTCCTCTCAATTTACCTGATGTACCCAGCAGTACTTGGGGTTTTACCTCTCATAGCTCATACTTACTTCTGTAATATTTTGCTCTGTCATTACGCAGTTTTTGGTACACGCCTTCACATCCTGCCTCTTTTGCTCCACCACTTCTCTCAAACTCTTTCCTTTATTCTTCGTACACACTTTTGCTCCTTTCTTTACTCTTGTTATTGAGGGATTCTGTTATTCTTTGTTTCTGTAAAGCTACAGGCTCTGATTCTCCTCTCTAGTCTCAGACTACTTCTGCTAGCGCAGCTCCATGTGACATAAAGGGTTTTGACTTTACACAAATGCAGGAGGAGAATGAAGTCTCCAGTTTACAAATCTTCCCAGTACAAGCAGGCTCATTTAGGACACAAGATATTCCTTTTCTTTCAGGAATGTCTTGAAATCATGTTTATGAAAACATAATATGGTTTAGGATCCTGGGCTCATTACGCATGCTTTTATACTAAGATTGACACAGAAGTGTTCAAGAATAAGAACCTGCCTATTCTTCCTACACACTTTTGCTCCTTTCTTTACTCTTGTTATTGAGGGATTCTGTTATTCTTTGTTTCTGTAAAGCTACAGGCTCTGATTCTCCTCTCTAGTCTCAGACTACTTCTGCTAGCGCAGCTCCATGTGACATAAAGGGTTTTGACTTTACACAAATGCAGGAGGAGAATGAAGTCTCCAGTTTACAAATCTTCCCAGTACAAGCAGGCTCATTTAGGACACAAGATATTCCTTTTCTTTCAGGAATGTCTTGAAATCATGTTTATGAAAACATAATATGGTTTAGGATCCTGGGCTCATTACGCATGCTTTTATACTAAGATTGACACAGAAGTGTTCAAGAATAAGAACCTGCCTAATAACTTTCTCAGAATGAGAAGGGAAACATACTACAAAAAGAGGTGACACACTTTTGGCTACCAAACCCGCCATTCTTTAAAATTTTCACAAAAGAACAATTCTTCAACTGATTTTACAGTGAGTATAAACATCTCTCCCTTTTAGTTCTTTCAACTTTGCCCAGTACCTTAGGCTCTCCGCACCTCTGTACCTTATTTCAGCATCACACGCTACAGGCTGAGGCATCTTGGGACACAGAGAAAGAGTGATTTTCTTTCTTCTTTTTCCAGATGTCTTACTTCCGCATCCTACAAAAAGAGCATATTCTATTTGCATAGTTCTCTCTTCTTGCTCACAGTGCAAGCTTTCATATTTAGCACAGAGATTTGTTTCCTAAACCTGATTAGAGCAGGGAATATCTTTCCTAATCCAATTCAGCAAATTGGAATTTTATCAGAATCGCCCTTTAGAAAGAGCTTTTGGAAATTGCTCCGTAACTCACTTGGAATATGGGCACAGAGAGAAGGATTTTTTTTCAAAATGAACAGACTTCCTCTCTCGTTAAAAAAATCACAAAACCCACACAGGACAATAGTTAACACTGCTAACTCTAATATAAAGTCGGTTTTCTGTACCATAGATAAAAATTCATCATCGTACAAGAAACGACCTTTTACACTAAATCTCTTTCCAGGGACATGCATTTCCCTTACAGCTGTTGTCAGGATTTAACATACCTGGCTAACGGGAAAAAGGGACATTCTAAAACCAGCATTGTGCAGGAATCACATTGACAAACACGTGTGCATACCATTTTTTTCTGCTCCTGGGTGTCCATTTCTGATACTTGCCTAACAAACTAATGGCATTTAGAATTTTGCAAATCCAGCCTGTCACAGGTCACAAAAAAGCTTGCCATTTCTTTGTTGGCTGGGTTTTTATAGCACATACTGCCATGGCACCTAAGGGGTGTGTAAGAGACAGACATACCTCATCCTAAGGTTTCAGTCTCCACCGCCTGCCCTTTATTTTTCTTAGTACAAAATAAAATAGTGCAAGATTTAAAAAACTGGTGCAAATTTGATTATCTTTGCATGGGTTTGACTCTGATCAAGATATTGAAGTACCAGCATGCTAATTAATTAAGACAAAACAGTATCAAATCACAATGGATCCAGCTTGAGCAAACAGCAGCAAGAAGAATGCTGAGGTCGGAGGAATTAAAAGATAATTGAAGAGGCATTGGCTTACGCCTTAGTCATGGACTGAAAATGTCATTAAACAAATTGTCAAACCCTCTATAAATAACTCTGTCGTCATTTCTCAGGGACATTGTCAGGTCTTGAGTACCAACCCCACTGAATTGTTTTTCCTCCTTACCAGAACAAAGACTGAAATATGTGCTAGATTATTACATTATATTTTATAGACCACTGTATATAGAAAGAGTAATGTTTTCAGCATATACAACTTAGGGAATACCAAGAAAACTTTAACGTGATGAAAAATGAACTGATTGCGAAAAAACAAAACAATGTCACAGGAGAAGCTGCCGGGCCGCGCCAAGAGCACGCTGCCGACAGGTTGACCATGAGCCAGCAGTGTGGCCTGGCTGCCAAGAAGGCCAATGGCATTCTGGGATGCATTAAGAGGAGTGTGGCCAGCAGGTTTTCGTCCAGCGACAGGAAGTTCTCCTCCGGGCCCAGCCCGGGGCCCACAGGGAAATACGCCTCGGACATGGCCTCAGTGCAAGAAAGATGAGGAGCTACTGGAGAGAGTCTGGCGGAGGGCTACGAGGATGATGAGGGCACTGGAGCATCTCTCCTATGAGGAGAGGCTGAGGGAGCTGGGCTTGTTCAGCCTGGAGAAGAGAAGGCTGCGAGGGGACCTTCGAAATGCCTCTAAATATCTGCAGGGTGGGTGGCAGGAGGACAGGGCCAAACTCTTTGCAGTGGTGCCCAGTGACAGGACAAGGGGCAACGGGCACAAACTGAAGCCGAGGAAGCTCCAGCTGAAGATGAGGAAGA